CAATTCACCGTAGGTTTTTATATACAGGAGACTGAGTGAAATATGTTTTTGTGAATTTATATAAAGTCACATTTAGATATTTACTATATTTAGCCCATTAGACATGGAGTACCTTGTAATAATATGGATCCTCGATGAAATATCTGCTGTACTATTCTATTGGTCATCATACAGCTACAAAACAGTGTCCTACACAGCATTTTATGAAGACAAACACAATGTATCCCTTTTCTAAAATTCCATGGGCCATTTAGAAGATATAGACAATATTGTTGTTCACAAAAAAATATTTATTAACACCATTTATGAATTATGATGACTCCCCTATGGTTTGCCACTCTTCTTTAACTGTTTTTTTTTTTTCTTTAACTGCTCCTGCTCACTCACTGATGAAACATTAAAAAATGAAACATTAAAAAAAGTTAAAAAGGACATCCATGGTGAATTTGACCTTGTCCCTGTGTGTGTGTGTGTGTGTGTGTGTGTGTGTGTGTGTGTGTGTGTGTGTGTGTGTGTGTGTGTGTGTGTGTGTGTGTGTGTGTGTGTGTGTGTGTGTGTGTGTGTGTGTGTGTGTGTGTGTGTGTGTATTTCCTTAAGTAGCTAAAGCAAACACACCTTTATGAGATCCAAGTTAAAGAGAAAGGTAAAGACAGAGTATGATAAAACCCACATTAAGTGCACAAACCCTACATTTGAGTCCAGATCAGTAAGCTATTTTAAGAAAAAATGTATATTAAGATATAAATGAGATAATTAGATCATCTCATTTATAAGAAACAACTCAAACCAGAATCTACATTCAAACCATATGGGGAAAGTTTTTAATGTGTTTTAACGTATTTGAGTGAGTGTGCAGTTTAACTCTTTACTTAGAGAGAGAGAGAGAGATTTACATACCTATTATAAATGTGTCTTTTGTGTGTTCACACCATAGACTGTAAAAAAAATTCACATATTTCCATTATCTACTGTAATATTGCTCTATAAACTATGTGGAGTATGTTTTAATGCAAGGAGTAAACAGAGTCTTACCAGAAGAGGCCAAGCTAAAGACAGGCAACAAAAGAAAATTAAAATTAAAATTAATTTTAAATTGAGTAGAGAAGATAGGGGAAGCTAAACCTACACGTGGTTAGTTAAGTTTAAGCCAGATAGAACAGAAACCTTTCAAAATACATTATAGACCCATCCATTGATATATAAATGAATTGATATCTACCTACCCTAGCTCTATCGAGCTAATCGTTTATAAATAATAAATGTTGCATCATTGCTAAAAAACAATAACTTTAGCAGATTATTTAACATACAAATGACAGAATCTATTTTTGTCAGATTTTAATTCTAACGATGTTAAACTTGATTATACGATATTATTACTTTGTCTTCTGGGCAAGTTTCATCTTCATAAAGACAGAACCATTCAAAGTAATCTTGATTCTAGAATATTCTCCTCTGTCCTCTGATATAAAGTTCATTTTTTTCTTCCTTTAAGAAAATGTCAGAACCTTTAAACTCAAAGGTTTATAAAACAAATAATATCATTGAGTCTGTTGTAAAGAACCTTAGCCTACATGTTTTTATATTGACAAAATGTAATATTGCATTGATTTGTGTACCCTAATTCAATCTCTTTTGATGTCCGTTTACCCCCCTTAATCCGTGCAGATATACACTATAACGTTTATATTTAAATTAACAAAAAACACAAAATTGTCAAGTCTATGGACGGGTTATTAAGCGTCGATTTAATGATGTTATTTCGCAGTATATCCCTCTACTGGACGCATCAGGAACAACAGGGTCGTAAAACTGCCGGGGCGTAAAACTGACAGGGGCGTAGCCTATATCTGCCGGCTCCAGGTCTGCAGCCTCCCCATACTCTAACTAAAGCATATGTGTAGTAGTTCACTCAAGCTATTTTAAGGCATAAATAAATTATTTTCAAGGAAAAACCTTTAAACATGTCATTTTGATTATCAAAGATGAGTTTTAAGGGATAATTTATTGATTGCATAATTTTTCCACATTTATAATTATCATCAGTAAATCAAGACTTGGAACATGATCAGAAAAAACTGGCATCATCACCTAATTTAATTCCAGTTTAATTCATCTTTTGTGAGATTAGGGGCAGGGATGAGGAAAGAAAAGAACATGACAATAAAATACATTTCAAATCTTTATTCACAGTAATATGCGAAGCATGAATAAGTACATTACATTCTGTATAATGGTGTCACATCTTTTGTAAGCAGAAGTGTAAATAATTTTTCTTTTTCTATTCCTCATTTTTAATATATAATTAGAGAGAACAAGCATCACAGGCTTGATATTGATGTTAACAGATGGATAAGTTAGTAAAGCTGGTCTAAACACATGATTTTCAAATACAAAGGATTCATATTCCTCTTGGAATTACTCATTTATTCATTTTTATTTTTTACATTCAACACTATACTTCCACTTTTTCCTTCATGGTTAATGATGTTCCAAAAATCGGTATAGATTAATAGAGACCAGTTATATAGGAACATGTAAATAAATATTAACATTTTTTTATTTTATATGGTTTAAGATATGTGGAAACAAATCAACTGATCGCCAGTATAGTACAGTAAAAAAAAATGATCAAGAGGTCCACTGACATTATTCCAGTCAGGACAGAGAACACTTTCTTATTAAGAAAAATACATCTTCCATTGCAGAAAAATAATAGAAAAGTTACATTTGCAAGTACTAAAACTTTTTCACAAAACTGCTTGAGAAAGTGCCTTGAACATTACCGTTAGTAAAAAGCCAGACTGCCTTAATAATGTATAACTATACTCACATTTTAAGTATATAAAAAAACGCAATTTAGGGTTATACAGAGTAAAATGAAAAACATTAAGTGCATTATGTAAATCTTGTTTAGTTGTAAAGCTATTTTATAGCATAAAATAATTTTACAAGAATAAACTTTCATAAACTTTCACTTCTGTTCTCAATGCAAAACTATAATTGAACCAAATGTTATAAAACTTATTTTTTTTCTAGGAATAGATTGGATAGATTACATTTTAGTTATCAATTTAATTTCAAATTGGATATAAGCGGGAGTATTCTCATATTGGACACTTTTTCTTATAAAATACACAAGCACCTCTAACAAGAGGTGAATGAGATCACTGTGATCAAAACCATAAAGTTTTACACCATTAAACCATAAAGTTTTACACCATTAAGACAGATATTTCATTTATACCAGTGGTCTCAAACTCGCGGCCCGCGGGCCATTTGCGGCCCGCAGGGTGATATTTTGTGGCCCCCTACTTGACATTAAAGTTTAATGTTAGTGCGGCCCGTCGTTGCGTATGCCGCGTTTAAAAAAAAAATATTTTTTTTTATCCCTTATGGGCTACCATAGATAGTCTCGTGACACGGTGGGTTTGTTGTCAATAGTTGTCATAGACAGCCGCGAAGTACAAACATACTGCGCCTGGAAAAAATGAGCGCGTCGCTTCAATTATGAGCAAGCTTGCCGCGCGCCTACATTTGAAATAACGAACTTGAGCGCGCAAAATATGTGAGCGCGATATGTGAACGGCCCCTTGGCGAACTACCACCAATCAGACCACGAGCTACTGGCAGCTCGCGAGCGACGTGTTGGAGAGAGACCCTGCTCTAAAACAATGTGAGAATAATCATTTTGAGCTTGTAATATGTGTCCAACAGGTTCATAAGGAGGTTTGCTTTGATTTGTGCAGTCAGTAATTTGAGACACTATACATGTGTAGAAAGAATTCAATAAGCTGGGCAGACATGACTGCAAATATTTGTATTTCAAAAGCAATAATTGTTTTTCTAAGTATAATAAAAGGAAATGTGCCTTCCAAAAAAAAAAACATTCAATATCATTAATGTGTTGTATAAAGAAAATAAAAAGGACATAAGCAAATATAAATATCACAAATATGTGTTATAGACAAAGAAAGTTTGTAAAATGAACTTCAACTGTCAGAAGGACGGCTCATGAAGAACCAATCATGTACAGAAAGGTATGTTCAAATTCAGAGGAACAGTTCAGAAGAAACGTTAATAATAAATATTGAGAAGATTGGATTAGTTGTGCTCCTTTTTTGGAATACTTGAATACTATTTTTTTGTGGAATACTTGATGCGGCCCAGCCTGACCCCGACTCTACCTCCAGCGGCCCCCAGTTAAGTTGAGTTTGAGACCCCTGATTTATACCATCTCCTCCTAAGGAGAAACACAGATGGTACGGTCCAACAGGTATTTCACTTCACATCATGCGGATCTACTAGAAATAGAAATGAAATGATCTGCTAGAAGTTCAAGTAGAAAAGAGGTAAATCATACAGTAAAAAGAACACAAAAATGGTCACATAATATGGAATAAACCGAGAACTTGGAAACACAATACTGAATCATCAGAACAACAGTGTCAACATAGTTTGGTCTGTTGTACCATTTTCTGGTAAAAGGTTCAGTTTTTGAACCTTACTCTTTCACAGCACACATTCTACCACCGGTTGTATAGATAACATTACAGCAAATGACTAGGTGATAAGAAATACCGCAAGGTTTAAGTTAGTATGAAGAACTTTCCACCACACCATTCTTTGACTTATGAATCAAATCGCAGCTGCATAAAATATTTTCCACTCTTACCTACAATCTTTTTCTTGTTCTGGCACGTGACCTTGTTATTGTCTTCTATTCTTCTCTCGAACGGTCTAGAAGCTCAATTTGATGTGTTAAATGTCAGAAGCTGAAAGTTGTAAACACCGAGAAGCAGCATATGGAATACTCAATCCAGAGCCTTTTTTTTTTGTTGTTTTTTAAATATGTATGTTGCACTGATTTTGGTCTATGCCGCACAGCTGAATCACTCAGAGCATCCTCTTTCAAACACATTTGAAATGTGCTCCGCTCTTTTCCTGACACCATGTGAGCGGTTGTTCCCTCTTCCTTCGGTCCGTTGGGAAATCATGCATTTTTCCTTTAAACCTTGAGCTTCCTTTTCAGCTCAAAGTATGCATCAAACCTGGTCATGGCGTATTCCTGTATATGAAAATAAGACAAATGTTTAGTCTGTTACTATTAAACTATTAGCAGTTTTTAACATTTAAATGATATATAGTAATAACAAATCAGTTCTACAAGGTATGGGTGCATTATTTGGACTTTCTTGGACCTCAGTGTCCTTTTGTTTATAAAAAGTAACTTGAACCTGACCTCATTTTTAATTTATTGTTATATAAGACTGTCATTGTAAATCAATGCTTTCATTGTTTTACTTTTGTTCAATAAAGTTGTATATAAAAAACATTACTGTGACACACAACCAATAGGTTTACAGTCATGTTAGCCTGACCTCACAAATATTTGTGTACTTTCCTAAGGTTGTCAGGCAGCACAAATATCACAATTACTGTATCTTTTCATATCTCATCTCAAGTGATAACATTCCTGGCTTACCTAAGAGCTACACTGTGTATAATGGAATATACTCTCTGGTTCATGATTAGCAATAACTCAACACATGCACACACAAAGACTTGACAGCTTTCCTACAATAACTCACCATGTACCCAAACTCAATAGTTGATATTTTGGCCTGGATAATGGACCACAATCCCCAGAAGAAGTGGGAGGCTAGAGCAAACCTAAATGAGAGAGCATTGAGTTCACAGAGTACAGATTGAAAGAACATATGGTGAATCACTACTGGACTTGGTCCAAACCTCTTTTTAAAATATTCATAGTAGTACAGTAAGAGGCCTCTGAGGGATAGCCTTGTTACTTTTTTCTTTTGATTCAATGGGCCTCATTTCAAAATCAACAAGCACAAGAATGTTGCACAATCATCTATAAAATTACAATTTGATGGAAAAATGTGTGTAAAACTGCCTAAGTAAGACATATCTGAGGTAGGTATTTCACCTGTTAACCTCCACTAGCATATCTTCTATGAGTTTCAGTTGGTCCTCTTCACTCAAGTTTTCAAATCCAGCATTAGATTCCAACAGATAACTCCGAAAGAAAAGCATCTGAGAAAAACAAAATGAAATGTAGTCATTTTCATGGTTAAAGGTGCTCTAAGCGATGTCATGTGTTTTTTAGGCCAAAACATTTTTTGTCACATACAGCAAACATCTCCTCACTATCCGCTGGCTGCCTGTCCCCTGAACACACTGTAAAGAAACGCGATCTCTGTAGACAGCCCATGCTTCACAAACAGCACCAAAAACAAACTGCAGCGACCCGCTCCCCAAAACATAACAAACTGTTCCAGCCAATGACCGACAAGAAGGGTTTGGGGGTGTGGTTTGGGGGGTTAGTGTGCGGATGAGGAGGAGGGAGGGTCTAGCTAGCCTCCATTTTGTTTGACAATAGTTCGAACGTCAACAAGAAGTGACGTCACCCAGGATCGCTTAGAGAACCTTTAATAGATTCACAGATTTAAGAACAGAAAAAAAAAAAAAACGACCTAAGAGAGACATTTTACAAACCTGCTGTGCTTTGGTGGGGTAATTTTTGGTGCTGGCTGTGAAAAATGGAAACTTGTCATTGGTGTAGTCATAAGTCCACTCACAGAAGAAATTTCCAATGTCAAATCCTCTGTGGGAGAAAGAGAGGAGATCATTACCCCATCAACAACATTTGTTACTGTGATAATGCATAATGCACAAGTCCTGATCATTAAGAGATCATTGGTAACTGTGGAGGAGGTTTTGTTAGGTAGTTTCTCACATTCATGAGAATATCATGGTATTTGGAAACTGTTCTGATCGGCTTCAATAAATAATGAATAAATCAGTTTTGAAGAGCATCAAGCAAATAAGGCTGATGCCAGTACAATATTAAATGTATTACTGACTACAAATGCCAAACACTGGCATGCTGATTCAACAACCTCCTCAAAAATAGTGTTAAATATATTTAATTGATAAGTCAACACTTTAAATTTAAAAGCCCTAAAAATGCAATGTGTAAAATCTTTTAGCACATACTTGTGGCCCCCTGGTGGTCCCCAGACCTTAGTTTTAAAACTCCTGGTCTAAAATATTGTGCAACTGAAGTGCAACATTTAACGTTAATGTTTTCCTAATGCTGTTTGGCAAGATGATAATAAATATCTAGATTAGTCATGAAACTCTAGATGGTGCAGACTGATAGGTCCTTTACATGTAATCTACAAGCAATACAGTTATGCACTACATGGCACAAGCTGATTGGCCCCTGCTGATTTTGCAGCCAGTGAGATTGCTTGCTCAACATTTAAATAGTCTGGATCAGTGTTCGCTGTAAGCTGGTCATGCAGCGTCCAATCAAAGTTCCTCTGAAATCCTCCACCTCCCCCAGCTCCACCTGCCTAGATTTGCTACGGGATTTATGTGCATTCATGCAGCAGCAGCATATCTTACATGCTCAGAGCAGCATCTGTGTATCTATTTGCAGTAGTAAGTCCATACTTGCTCTGCAGCAGCAGCAGCAGCAAGCGTAGAATATATAGTTTACCAAAATACATTAACATTGTCAAATCCATTACCATGCTAAAACCATTCTGAAAGTTGTTGTGATTGAAATCGTATTATGATCCAGGTAACTAGTACTCAACCAGATTTGAGCAAAGCCACAAAAAAAGAGAAAGAGAGAAACCATGACTCTTAATTTGACTACACAAACTGAAGGAGATTAATTTGTAAGAAAGACTGTGCAGCTCTTTGTGAAGAGGCTCACAGCTGCTGTGGAAACTAAACAAAGCACACATTTCTGTGGCTGTGAAGCCAGGCTTAATTTCCTACTGCTTTGCTGAACAAACACTGTCAATGGGCCTAACCATGAGTCGCTTATGCTGTAGGGGACCACATTGGATGGCAAGATGGGAAAACAAACAAAACATGTCTTGACCCATGCCATTCTCCACTGGAACAGTGATCTTGCCAGTATAGGACCCTTTTCAAATAAAACTAGGTTACTAAAAGAACGTGTTACAGTTTAGAGCAGTTTAGAGGATTGCCTCAGTGAGGCCAGTGTTTGAGCACGTGCAAGAATGCAAGTACCCTAGCAACTGTGTTTTACCAGAGCCTTCAACGTCTGGAGGTCCCTTCTCAGAAATGGGGCACCCTAAGCATTCCAAGCTCATCAGAAACAACTGAGTGCTCTTGAACAACAAAGAAAAACAGCCAGTTCTTTAAATCAGCTACAAAGATGTCGGAGGTCAGGTAAAAGATTCAAAACAATTCCAATCAAACATCGGGTTGTTACAAAAACAAATTGGAAATTAGCTGCATGTGATACTTCTGATGAAGCACGTGAGGAATCATGTGTGGGATGAATGCAACTACGAACAATACAGACCTGTAGTTGTAGCTGCTGTATTCAAAGTCGATCAGCATGAGCTTCTGTCTGTCTGCTTTCTCACGGCCACTTAGGAGCAAGATGTTTCCTGTTTAAAACACGCCAGTACTCTTAAAACTATTTTATCAAACACTGAAAATTAACTTAAGTACATTTTTAGAAACAATAGTGAAATAATCACAGTAAACCTGTCTAACCTTCTTGCAAGTCATTGTGGCAGAAAACAACAGGAGAGGGAGTAGATTCTAGTAGACACCTGTGTTCACAAACAGCCGATTAAGTAAGCATACAAATACGTCAATAATGAGCAGCAAACAAACCCCTTTTACTTGTCAATACATCATCTTGCTATCAGTCACTCTCAAATCTCTTAAAGTGTGAACCGTTTCCAGGGGTTCTGACAAAGCTGGTCAATGAAACAGTGCTAGAAGTGTATGACGAGAAGATAATTCCTCTAAAATAGAAGTGAAATCACAGCTGTACTGAATAATATAGATAATAAAGATCTTACTTGAGACTGTCCATCTCTTGAGGCAAGTTGAAGCTCATAAGGCGGGAGAAATTACGCAGATGGTGTTCCCTCGTGAAGGTGAGCTGGAGCACTTGATCCATGTACCTGTGCAGATAATGCATGTACAAAAAGATTGCAGTTGTGACAATCAACAAAAATATTAATTATGTTTGCAGGCAAAAACAGACTTTTTTAAAAAAAATTCATAAAGTAATAAGATGATTGGGGATTAAAAGACAATTAATATTCAGTAATATTACTGATTTAACGGCACTGACACTATCGGATGAGAAAATTGAGCCGAATCAAGCTTAATAATAACACTATTGCCTTCTTGATTGATTAACTTTGCCACTTTGAAGTGAATTGAAACACTGAACTAAATTGAGCTGAATAATAGTCTTCTGTAGAGCTGCTTTAATTGATACATTTTACAAAATTAACACTATTAATGTGAAGCTGCTTCGAAACAATCTGTATTGTATGAAGAGCTATATACATAAATGTAACTGTATATGATTAGGTGATAAATGCTGTTTAGGTCCCAGTGGACATACTAAAAATTATGGGGTTTTCCAGAAAACATGAAACAGAAAGCAAAAAGGTTTTGTTTCACCTTTTTCTTGGTTTCTTTATCTTTTTATGCAATTTACTTCTTGGTTAACATAAATCCTATTTTTATATTTTATGAATAATTTTGTCTGTTGAGATTTAGACTGAATTTCGCTAGAATAAAGCTAAATCCGGTCAACATCCTGACAGTAAGGAGGATGTAGTTCCTTACCCGCCATGAACATTGGTAAGAATTTAAAACAAAAGTTTTTATTATCACGCACTTGTCCATTGTGCCAAACAGCCACTTTGGCTCCTTGTTGAAGGGCATTCTCATTCCATGAAACCTGGCGATCTTTTCAGCAATCTCAGCACATATACCAGGGACACTCAGCTCATCTGTGGACAGTTTTCGACTCTGCAGACAAACATATTGCAATGTCAGTTTGCGTTTTGCTGACTAAAACAGAAACAAATACGAACTAAAAAGATAAAACACAAGAAGTCCCACACAAGTTCCTGTGTATTTAAAAACCTGGAACATCTTTCAGAGCAATGGAAAATGTGACACAGGCGCATTTGCCAAGAATGTCATGTGGTTTATCTTACAATTCAATTAGCAAGAAAAGGATTCATAACTATTAGTGTCAAATCAAGTTGTGTACTGTTTCACATCCAGATTTTTACATTTTTTCACATCACTTATCATTATCATAAGAGCAAACTTTAAGACTCACTGGGACAAACTGTTCCAGTCTTCCCTGTGGAAAGATGCCATAGAGCTTGGGCCCAAGCTCCCTCTCGGCCAGGATAGCAAACATCACACTCTCCAGTACCATGGCATCAGCTCCCTGCAAACACAAAAACATACGGATACAGTTCGGACACTAGCTGAATCAACCTCCAAAATGTAAAAAAAACAAAAAGACGACCTTGAAAACTTGCTTAGTTTAGCTTCATTGGATCTTTAATCCCTGAAAGAGGAGTTCAGCTTAAGTTAAAGAACTTAATTCAAAACTGTGACGCTATTAAGGACAAGGAATTCTGCACTGAAATCAATTTTGTCAGTCATTTTGTAACTGCTGTGATTGTCAGAAGCAAATTCAATGGCAGTGCTGGGCAAAGTGAGTTAAATGAGAGAAAAAACAAGAGGCAATTGTGCTGAGCGAGGCAGAACTTGCCAAACATCCCAGTCATTAATTGTGGCTGCTTAACTAGCAATGACATTAAGCTTGTTTTTTTGGACAAGGCTTTGCCAAGTGTTAATACACAGAACCGAAAGAGCTGCCTTCCTATGTGGGGAAAGTACTTACGTAAGGTATTTTGATTTTTAAACGTTTTATACTTCTGCTTTTATTCTTTCCTTCCTATTAAATATCATCTAAAATTAGATTGTGAAGAGATTATATATTCACTAGTTATAAGTAATTGAGTGCTGTACTTTGAACTAATCCCATTGGAAGTCATCTAAACATCTGGTAGGGCAAACATTTGAAATTGCAACCATGAATGATTTAAATGTTTGGGAATTTCTTGAGACATTTACATTTCTTGAGACTTCAAAATTAATATGGATCTACTATCTACTAATATGGATCACAGATTTTTATGACGTCACCGTGGTCTTCAGCTTCTCATCACATCTTCTGTCCAATCAAATGCTCTGTAGAATCTGAAGCGCCCCACCCCCTATGCTATAAATATCACCTAGCCAAAGCGACCGTGGCTGTACCTGACTGTACGTTCAGTAGTACACACATGCTCAGTGTCAGCTACTCGTGCTCATCAGTTCAATCAGTGAACTGTCGGAGTTACTGGAGTAACATATACTCCGGGATATTGTTTATTTCGAGTCGGATTGACTGTCAGGCACATCCGAAAGCGAGTAACTTTAGAAAACTGGATCAGCGCTGACTCTGTTTTGAACGATTCAGTTCGATTTGATGAACTGGTTCGACCGGTTCACAAAAAAAGAACCGGTTCAAAAGAACGATTCGTTCACAAACCGGCGGACATCACTACCGTTGTCACGTCACGGAGCAATATAGGTTGGAGATGTGTGTTCGGTTGCTCAAACGCTCAAGTTTCATTGCGTTTTCAAAATGAAATGGCTAGAATGTATTCACACCTCTAACGTTCCTATTGAATCCAACATATCTGCGCTCCATGCTGTTTCCATGGTGCTGTCAAGTATGACTCGCAGTCTGTGAGGTAAACTAAACGCTATTGGCTATTTGAAAAGGTGGAGGAGCCATTCAATATGTCCCGCCTTAGCTTCCTGTTTCAGAGGAAATGACGTCAACGCATCATACAAAGCTGCGCGTTTCAAGCAAGGGGGTAATCCACCAGCCGGAAACTAAAGCCTCCCTGGGGGCCGCCATTGGCTAGCAAGCCTTCACCTGCTGTTAGCATTCCATTGACTCCCATTCATTTTGGCGTCACAGCGCATAACTTTACATCTGAGGCGTTTAAAGACTCCATTTGTCCATTGTTTATTTCTAAAGAAACACGACAATGTATAAAAGGCTCAATTACCTTGTATCTTACGCTATGGCCCCGTAGAAGCAGTTTTTGTAGGCTAACGATTGCGTCATAACCACGCGACTCTCTGTCGCACAGTAAGCTCGCGGGCAATTGGGGGGACGTGGAGGCATAACGTCCGATAAAATAAAGGGAGAAACCCATAGAGAGTCATAAAGCTGATCCTGCTGCTAGCTCATGGACAGCTCCTACTCACGCTCTCAGTCTCTGCAAGATTCGGAAGGGAATGATTCAGATTCCTCTTGGCACCGCTACTAGAAGACTCAGTTTGAGTCTGCGCAGTACGCTCAGCCATTAGGAAGAGAGTGCTTCTAATTGACTTCACTTTTCTCCGTTGAAGTCTATGGAGTCGCTGTGTCCATTTCTTTTACTGTCTATGGTTTCAAGGCATTTCAGTGCCTTTAAGATCACAGTCAATACTGTGGCAACCCAGCTGGCATTCCACTGACATTAAACGTTTAAATGTGGTTGAAATAATGTAAGTTTATGAAAAAACATTAATTCAACGTTAAAACAACGTTGAACACCAAATAGTTGAAGTTATGTTGTTGACTCACTACGGATTCAACATAGAAATATAAAAAAAATTGAGTTGTACGTCAAATCAACATTATTTTTACAACCATGACTTTTAAACGTTTTGTTGAAATATATCAGTAGAAAAATAACGTTGTTTCAAAATCCAATTTGCAATCTGATTTGCAAAATATAAACAAAATTAAACGGTTATCCAACACTGGCACCTGACGTTGATTCTACAGTGACTCAACGTTAAAATGCCAGCTGGGAAACCATCGAAAATATCGTTATTACGAATTTCAAGCACGTCAATGTCATTTTTACAAGTGCGAAACTCGGAATTGTAGATGATGTACGAGTTGTGAAGTTATAAAAGCCATATCCATTTGAAACATGCTGGAAACACTGATCTATAATGGACAATATAATATCTGTATGTTAATCTATATAGGCTAGAGAGTGGAAAGCAAGTCTGTAGCGAATGGTGTTAATCATTCAAATTTCATGGTTTGCTTCACATTTAGTTGGGATACCATGAATAAATAAGTTGTAGAAATTCATATTTTTCATCATTTTAAATTCAGATGTAGTTATTTGGATTTTCTGTTAACAGTATACTTCCTTGTCATGTATCCAACTTGAATGTGTGATGTTACAACAAATGACTACTTGGAGGAACGAGTTTCAGAACGTCTTTTATCTAGCACAATTGAATGAGGTCAGGTAAAAGCACTGCACACACTTGCGCAACAAACCTGCTGAGGGAATATCAACTGATCTGCAGGTTTTTTTTAAAAAAACATCCGGTTCTCTCAGAAATTAAACAGGATACTATTGGAGGACAATTCTAACGGGAAAAACCTGGAAGGAAACTAAACTTCCTCAAAGGATACTTTGGAAACACCATCTCTGGCTTGGAAGCATGAATGATTGGGAGAATCAAAGAGTTTTCTAATTCTAATCATATTTCACATACAACGCAACTACCGGTATGCAACAATGATTCATGCTCTGTCCAAATTTGTTCTAGTTTTGGTCTGCTGCCAAGTCAGTCAAAGTTAACAGACAGCACATTTACATGAAAATGCCACCTACAGAAACAGGTTGTGCACAGGTTTCCTAGAAACTACAAGGTGATGTGATTCATGGCTGTTCAAATTTTGCCCTGAAGGGCCAGTTCTGCAGAATATAGATCCAACCTTAATCATAATCATTTGTTAACAAACAGGTATTCATTACTTCAATGAGCTCATTGTTTCTGCCTTAAATTATTACATTCTTTAAATTAGTACATTTTTAGCTAACTGTGATTTGTATATGTACATTTCTGAAATACATAACTTAGACAGTAACCTCTGATAACAGATCACTCTAAATTGTAATGTGGACTCATCATGCATTTTCTGTAAAGCTGCTTTGAAACGATGTGTATTGTGAAAAGCGCTATACAAATAATGTGAATTGAATTGATCAAACACACCTGATCAAGCTATTGAAGGGCTGTTTCCAAAATCGCCCTCTTTACCCTTAAATAGGGCACTATTTGAGGGTACAGCCATTTGTAGTGGTATCCAAAACAAAAGTGGACGTTATCGAGCACACTCATTCAATCCCATATGTACAACTGATGTACACTCAACGGTTAGAGATTACCCATAATGCACTGTGAGGCTCGTGCCAAATGAATTCCCGCGTCTCGCCAGAACATGGCGCCCGCAGCTGAATCATCCATCCATCGATTTTCCAAACCGCTGGTCCAATGTGGGTACAGCGTAATACAGGAATAAATTCATTTTTAATTGTTTAATTAAGGTTTATATATGCTAGTTTCCATGACAGAGTTCAAGTTAAATCTTTTTATTACTACTGAAGCTGCCAGTTTGCTAAGTTTCAAATGATTATTAAACAGCAAGCACAAACAATGCAAAAGCGGCAGCCCTTCCGACACTCTCAAGTGTCCAAATTCACTCACTCGTTTTTCATTCACAACTTCAGGTTGGGAATAAAAAGCTTGAAAATGCTAGTGGATGGAGAGCATTTTGAACTGAAATCACTGAAAAAATATATCACGATTAATGCAGACGTAGCCAAAATGGGGTATATCAATGCATGCCTAGCCTTCCTACCTTCATAAACTGCCAGCAAAGCCAGCCTTTTTTGAAAATAATTTATGTTTTCGAACATAGTCTCTCTCTCTCTCCCTCCCTACCTTTTTATCTGACTAAGAAATGGCCATGTGACTGCTGAGCAGCTGCTTGGGTTTTTCCAGTGCCTGTTAATACACAAGGCATAATCACTGGATTACTGAAGCAGATCAGTTCACACCAGCACAAGGACAGTATCTACATGCAGGTGTTACGAATGGTCAGTGAGAGGAAGTCCATCTCTGCAATAACAATAACACCAAGAAAAATAGAGACAAAACTACACTTGCATAATAGATAGAAGCAAAGTTAGCAGAGGCCAGACAGGACAGCCAGCTGATACTGAAGCAGTGAGGTTAATGCTGGGATAAGCTTCTAATAGAATCCATTACAATTTAAATTGAGTCAGAGGGTGCGTTTCAGCCTTGTAGGTTATCAGCTCTGGGTCTTCTCTCTTTATTAGCTATGAATATGAACCTACTCTCCCTCATTAACCATTCCAGTTATATCCGATTCTTAGTGATTGTATGGCCATCTCTTGCCATACGCAAGATGGGAAAGAAGTCACTGGTGCCCATCAAATGTTTGGTTACCCACCCGTATTCTTCAATTAGTGTTGTGTTCAGCTGCAGAAAGAAATTCATACAGGTTTGGAACAACTTGAGGGTGAGTAAATGATGACAGAATTGTCATTTTTGGGTAAACTATCCCTTTAAGAGGGGTCCCCAAGTGACACATTTTTCACTGAAGAGTGAAGACAGTCCACTGAAATACGAGAATGCAACTATAAGAAACTCATGGAAGAATTTGACCTAAAAGTTTGAAATCACAAGCGACAGGTCCAAACAAAACATCTCTGATGACCCAAATAGCTTGTCCCTTGGCCTTTGAAGATGATGGGATGGGAGGTAAACATAACAGCAGTTTCACTAAAATGCTTTTATGAATTTGGGCTCTTATTGGTCATATAATTTCAATAAGAACATGTCAGATGAGATGTAATAAAGACAATGTGTGTCTCCAAAAGGTACCTTTTTAGACACCCATGTCAATAAGTCACATTCTGCTCACATAAAAACAGTAGAAAAAGACCTTTGCCAATGTTACTTACTTGAAAGTGATTTTCTGTGTTTGATTGTCTGCAATCCCCTTTATTACAGGACATCTAGCAATAAGAGAAAAAGCAAAAGACTATCCATAAGCACAAAGTGTTTTATGTGACATCTTCATAGAGTAGCAACATTAACAGAGCTATTTTCCTTAAGCAACAGTCACCCACTATAAACTATAAATCCATGTCTTTGGCAGCACAGTAAGAAAGTGCATTAAACAAATGCATTAACTTTGTGATAAAAAGAACAGAGTGTTAGAAAGGGTTGACAGCTAGAAATGTATGGGCTGTTGAACAAAAGGCTTGACTAGCATATGCTGACCCAATGCTTTTTTCATGACAACCACCGGTGAAAATAAATAAAAACTCTGTAATAACTGCAATGATCAAAGCCATGTTCCATTGAGACCAAGCACAAATATTCAGTAGACAATGCTATTCTCCATTAGAATAAAAAAAAAGTCTCAATCTGGAGGCTTTGGTGTCCATAGTAATGAACACTATGTAAATCTCACAAGAGCAACATGAATGCTAGTGACAGCAATAAAGTGTGTCTAGTTAAATAAAGATCAACACAGGTTATTATCAGTGCACAGTTTGAAAATTAACTCATATAAAAGGCCTTAATGAACTGAACTCATGACAAATTAGAGATTTATTTATGAATCACTATGTAGCAAAGTCCACACACCCTGGAATTTGTAATATGGCTCCAACTAATGCTTCTTTTCATTTTGAAACACCTGGCTTCAAAGGATTGGACTGTGGACCTACGGACACCTCATCAGGTATGACATCATTAGTTTCGTGACTGCTGTTACTCTAAATAATTTACTGAAAAACATTCAGAGATTCAAAGCAACTCGTCATCACTAATAAAAACAAAACAAAAGCCAAAGCCTAATGGGAACATTCTGTCGCTTCCTAAAGTGCAGTCATATCATTTATATTTAGGAATATATTGATATATCTGTTATACAATATAGCTAATAGATTTCATTATATATTAAATATTACTTTGAATACACAACTATTTCTAAAGATGAAAAAATTAGAAAACAGAAACAGAAATTGACTAAACTATTTCTTAATATTAATCATAAAACACACCCTTTACAAGTAATGTTGTTATTATTATAATGGTATTGCAATGACATGAACTATAAAAAATTTGAAATGCCACCGTAATTCGTTAAAATACACTGCTGCAACTCCTTTGCTAATGTAACCAGCACCTATATATTTTTCAAAGGAGTAATAAAGAGTTGAAAATAAGCAGATAGAGGCAGAAAAATACTTCAGACAGAGCAATGTACGCCGTGAGCTTAGATCTCAAAGATATTAAAGATTGAGATGCGAATAAACTTGAAGACAATGCTGTGGCTTCAGGGATCGCATACTGTACCGTGTTTGGTATGTTGGGATCACCTGGAAACAAGAGTGCTCAAGGCACGCTCCTTTGGCAAGCCTACGGCAAAGAAGACACGCAAGTACAGCCATGGAGGTACATCACCCAATAAAAACTGCCTCTTTAAATTTAGAGGGTACACACACAAATACAAAATCTGTTTAGGGGGACCGATTCTTAATTGAGATTTCTGATCCAGGGGGGTTGCCATCTGCCTAATGAATATTAGGTTTTTAAATCTCACAACAATCACTACTTCTATAAAATAACAAGCACAAATTATTTTTTGTTCATTTTAACACTCAAATGAATACACTGCTTAATTGTTTTAACTGTTTAAATTGAAATTACTGCCATCCATGCCATCCCAGATAAACAATACTTAGTTTCAGACTAAACAGCAAAGTTTATATCCTTCCCACCTTACTACAGTAAAACAACACAAAAACTTGACCTATACATTCATAGAAGATTTAACAGTGAACATGTATTGTGTAAAATTTGGGTTTGAAATATTTAAGGCACAGGTACGGTTTTTGCTAAGCACTCAAGTGGATATTATTATTTTAAATGCTAATACATACATACATAAATACATATAGTGTATATATATATATATATATATATACACATCAAGTATTCAACAACATACTACTTGGCATCTTATTAGATGATTATGAAAAATGGCACTTAATTCACACTTTAACATTTCACCAAGTAAAAAACTATCAAAACACCTGCAGAATTTGTCCATATAGGCGAAGGAGAACGTTTCGTGGTTCATCTCCCAGGCTTGGTTGCTTCTCTGGCAAAGCGCAGAGGAACAGTTTGTTGCTGAGACCTCCCCTAGAAGCAAAAATGTAAATGTTGGAAGAGAAAATAACTGCATTCTCACAATCAATCAGGATAAATAAGTATTTACAACTAGACAATACCACAAAGAGTAATGCTGCCAAACTTTTGAGACACAATCTGTGTATTTTCATTTACACTGTATATATTACTTGTGTAACACTTGGTTTTGAGTCACAGCCATGGTCATGGAAACTTTGGAGACAAATTACTGTAGTATTGGGCAGTCATTTATTATCTCATGACCAAAAAGAGCCAAACTTGCAGTACAAAATCATTTTAAGAAAGGAAACATCATTATCTCACATTTCCAGTGAAAAAGAAAAAATATATATTTACGACTTTTTTTCTCACAATTATGATATATAAACTAGCAATTGCGAGAAATAAAGTCAGAATTGCGAGATATAAACTCGCGATTGCAAGAAAAAAACTCAGAACTCGCAATTCTGACTTTTTTCTTGCAATTGTTTATATCTTGCAACTGATTTTTATTTCCCCCAATTCTGACTTTTTTTCTCGCAATTGCGAATTTATATCTCACAATTGCTAGTTATAAAGTCAAATTCGGAGAAAAAAAAAAGAGTCAGAATCATGAGATTAAAAATCGCAATTACCTTTTTAATGTTTTATTTCATGGCGGAAACAAGCTTCCATAGAAACGAATATTATCTAGTGGAAACTTTGGAAACGTTACTGCGCCCAAACAAAATCAAACAAAACAAGCTCGTTTTTTGAGATATCAAGCTCAAATTTGGAAATTTGGAACCTGTTTAGATTTATGGCTTTATTTTTTTGCAGTTTTAGAGTAAAACATGTTTTTTGGAAAATAGACATTCCGTATAAAATGTGAAAATAGTATTTTTGAGTGCATTTTTCATAACATTAAACGTAAAATTGAAAATAGTATTTTTGTGCATTTTGTGAAATTTCATTTTCAGGTCTATGCTCAAAAAAATAATAAATGAATCAAATTATGACTACTGCAAAAAATATATAATTTAGTACCATAAAATCCCCCCCAAAATACAAAATAAAAAAACATTATCGAACTAAAATATTATACATCCATTTCATTGGTGGGAAAGCAACGTTCATTTTGATCTGTTTCACATCTAACGTTAGTCGCGCAAAGCAGAATACCTGATGATGGAGATTTGGAAATCACACTCATCTATGGTTTTCCAGGCTCCGTGAAGGAATTCTTTACACCACAGATACGCCTTCAGCTTCGTCTGGTGGTCGGGCTCATCCGGTCGAATAATGTCTTTGCATTCGTCCCCACTCTCTGGCTGGACTTCGAGGACATTCTCATTTACCAATAAAACCAGAGACATAGAAGGCGAAGAAGACACGCCATTGATGAATTTTGTCTTCATATTTGCTGTCTGTTGATTACTGGTATCAACGTAAATAATCAAAACCTGCAGGCAATAAATTAAATCGCTGACTGTCTGAGCAGTTTTATAGCTTTCAGATGTTTTAAACGCAAATTTAATGGGACCAACTGACACTGTATAACTGTACCCACGATGCTGAAGAATACACTGCGTCAGACGCGTTGATTCGTGCGCAGTATGTTGAAGTCGAGGGGGTTGACCTCACGTCACCCGACCACACCCATTCTGTTCTCTGATTGGACAACATAGTCACGTCCCCTTCATTCCAAGCTCGAGCTATGACAATAGTAAACAATGCCTGAGAAATGCAGAGATTAGGCTACTATCACAGCTTTCATGTGTTGTATGCATTAAAAGTGTATCATTCTGTAAAATAGGCGCATTTCCAGTTTAACATTGGAATTTTTGGCATATTTAAAACATTTGATTTGAAAAACAATGTTTAATTGTACCGGAATTACATTTAGCCACATCAAACTAAAATTATACATTTTGAAACAGATTGGAATATAATTATGGCTTCAAAAAAATAACAAGGTTGTCAATTTATTTTGACGTTACATGCTAATTAAAAAGAAATGTAATGCTGATAAACATAATATTAAGTGATTTTCTTGTTTAAGTTGATGATGATATTGAGATATTCACTTATCATTGGACATTTTGCTTGAAATTTTGTCATTAGACAAAGGGTTTATGTTTTATTTATGTAATAACAGAATAAATAGTCATAACCTCAAGAACTTCAGAACTTAAACCATACTTTCTGCCAGGTAAAAAAAATATATATATATATATATATAATAATAATATGCCTATACTAGCTTTAATTTTCATATAGCCTAATAAAAATCCACTTGATGAAAGAAAGAGACAAACACAAATCAAGTAACATTTTTTTTTTTGCATCAACTCATCCTCAAATCAAAAAGTAATTAAATGAAGGAAACAAATTGTTCCCGTTTTGTAGGATAACTCATGTAGCCTACATAATATCATCGATCTTCTTAAAATTGGTCTTGGTCTTATTATTATTATTATTTTTACAAACCAACCTTTTTTTTTAATTTGGTTTAATCAAACAGTTTAATTTACCTAAAGTGGTTATGACTAGTTTTGTTGCGGTTCTATTAGTGCAGGAGATTATGAAGCCTAATTTATTCCTTTCTTATTTCTCCTTATGGTTTAGGACCAAAAAGAGGGTTGGAATGCGGTTCAGACGTGTCTTTCCGCACGTCTCGTGTCTAAAATTGTAAACCATGTGCGATCCTAGTAGAGTAGAGTTCGGACAGCGGTCCTTGTAGTCACATAAAGCACCTTAAGTTTTTCCCTTAAGTATGATACTTAAGGGGCGATTTACCCTTACCTAAGAGAACAACTTAAGGGTGTTGCATATAATCTCTTAAACGGTTCTCTTAGGTAAGGGAAACATTTAAGTGTTTCACGACAGCGATCCTGGATTCACGTTATAAAAGTCTGTTGTTGCCATAGATACGCAAAACACTAACATGTCGGAATATCACGTGTCAGTCCAGTGACGCTATCACGCAACACCGCGTTAGCTCCGAACGTGGCGGCAGTTTGTGTTGTTCACCGTCTCATGCTTTGGCATTTGTTTAGGTTTTGTGAATGCACTTCTGGCTCTGTGTCTCGAAATACAGCTGAGTATATTTCCATAGCATACCTGTTTTCTTCTGTCATGATTCATTTTAAAACACAGAATCAGCTCGTTCTCCTGTGAATTTTTTGTCGGCCACACACTCTCCGTGCGCACACTGACTTAACGTTGTGATAGTTTACATGCGAGTCGCGTGTAATGACAGACAGACAGCCTTCTAGTTTGATAGCGATGTCATATATTGCGCGTCGATCAAATCGGTATTCTTGCAACAATTTTTCATAGCTAAATTGGTCCAAAGGGTTCTTCCTATTCCTTATGATCTTCAGCTGGTTTCATAAATTCAGCCATGTCGTCTTATTTTTGTCCGCGTTACTCTTAAGGTTACGATTTCCAAACCTTAAGTTATACTTAGGGAAATTACCGTTAAGGGGTTTTATGCAACACTTAACGATTACTTAAGTGAAAAAACAGCATTTAAGGGAAATTCTAAGTGTTTATGACGTTTCACTTAAAAAACCGTTAAGTAACACTTAAGGGTATTTCTCTGCAACACCCTAAGGTTTAAGGGAAACATAAGGGCGACTTTAAGGGAAAATTACACTTAAGGTGCTTTATGCAACCGGGCAATGGCCTTTGACGGGAAAGTATGAATCATGAACACAACATTTGATTGGAAACAAGACGGTATAGCCAGAGCCATATAGAGAGAGAGTTGCGACAACGGAAGTTCTAAAAGCTTGGTTGTCACGTGATTCGCGTAGACCTCAGATAGTTCCAGGAAGAGCTTCGGCGCCAATTCAAATCGATGGAGGTAGAGAGCTGAACTGTGATTTTTGTTAGTTTGTAGTCAATAAATGCGTTGGTTTACAATATGTATATAATACATTGACATTTGGATGTAGTATGTGTATGTAGTTACAGCAATATTGTTTTTAAAAGATAAATATCTGCTGATATTTAATGTTTATTGTGGTCAACCAGTGTTGCCTGCCTTTGTTAACATGTTTTCTGGCTAACTTTACCTTGGTTAAAGACCGTTTTGCAGTTGTTTTGAAGTATTTTTGTGTTCTTAAACTTGAATGTTATTTAAGGGTTATCATGTAATGTTCACTATGGTTTCACAAGGACAGGTGACTTGCAGGAAACAGGTGAAGCCATTGCAAACAAGTAAAATGTAAAATTGCATTCATCGTAATGTTTACAATGCTTATGCACTTATTACTATATAAATGAATACATAATATATTTCATTTTAAAACAAAACATGATTATACACACACACACATACATTATTTCCTAAGTGTCCAAGTACATTATTTCCTTAACATAATTTGATAAATTCATGACATACATCACTTTAATCTATAAAACCTATTTAGTTTAAATTCATTTTTAGTACATTTAGATAATACATATTTTATGTTTTAACCCCCCCAAAATGTCAGGTTGTGCAACTGTCCGCACAAATGAACAGACTAAAATACTAATTTAAATGGTGTTTTAAATGAAATTCTATGGCATCATTTTAACCTTTCATATAAACAAATTTTATACGTTTCAGTAGATTTATAGCTGATAATTGAAAACCTTTTGTCTAGCAATTTGTATGTCAGGGGGGCACAACTGCAAACATGGCTCTCTTATTATGGTAATTGCAGTGTGCATGATAATGCATTGTCCAGAGGAGCCATAATGATCCTTGTAGATCTCTATCAAATACTGATAAAAACTGCTTTCAAGTATGGGTAGGTTGGTACACTTTCAGGTGAATTTAAACACTTAGAAATGTTCACAGCTGAAACTTGTTCAAATACATTGTTCATGACACAAAAATTTACATTACATCAGTTTTGAAAAGATTTAAAAAAACATTTATTTGTTTATTTGTCAATGACCTATATATATATATATATACACACTTTTGCACTGAATTAGCACAATGGGATTTATAAATGTCTAATAAACTGCACGTCAAGCATGTTGTCTGGCATTTCCTCTATGTTGTTCTTGTACTGTCAGACACAGAAAATATGCTCAAGTCAGGAGCAATCTAAATAGAACTAAACATTTTGTGCTGATACTTAGGTGTATCTGCACTTTTTCCACAAAGACCAACACTGGGAAGTTTAATGTTTATTAAAAATAAGGAGCAAGTAAAGTCTTGCAAAATCCAAGGAGCTGAGACTGATGAGGGTACAGCGTCAGTGCAGGAGTCTTCAGGATCCACCGAATCCTCTTTGTGCTTCTTGTGTTGAAAGAGATAAAGGAAACAAAAACGGGATAAATTATATATAGGAGTTAGTATATAATACAGTTATGGTATTTATAATACCCCATTTAGCCTAGTGTGATTTGATCTAGAACACGGCTTGCTGCCGTTTTAAGCAAGTTTTTTAATCTTACTTATAAACTTCCATCTCCCTTTCCCATCAATACAAATCAGCTGAGCTAAATCATAATATAGACAGGTAATAGTCAACAGAAACACAATGAATAAAAAACGCCAACCATACGTTTTTCCTTACTCAAATATGAAATCTAAAGTAAGGATTTTTCCCGTTATTGCACATTTATGGAATGAAACCGATATTCTCATTTTATCAATTACAACTATCACACTCCCCAATGTCCCCATTGTTTTATTATATTTAACCTCTGTTTAGAAGTATTTCCCTCTTATTACACAACAAAGGATAAACATGCATTAATAGAACGGGTTTAAACATTAATATGCTGTTCGTGGTTTGTTATGCGGTATTAACTTTATCCAATTACCTTTATTTTACCTGATAACGTCCCCTAAAACTACTAATTTAGAGAGCAATAATCAACTAGCATGCTTTAATACAGTTAAAGTTACAAGTTAATTTGATTCAGATGTACTGATAATATACAATCTTATTCTTTAAACGTCTTACCTTTTAAAAGTGCATCACAAACCGTCTGTTCTGCTGTAACTCTACCGCGCTGCTGCTACTTCCGGGAACTATTGAGAGGCTCCGCGAGCCGCCATTGCTGTAAAAAAACGTTCCATTGGAGTCAATGGAGTTGTCGCAACTCTCACTCTATATGGCTCTGGGTATAGCTAAAACGGTAACTTTGAGCATTCGAATTAAAGGGATAGTTCACCCAAAAATAAAAATTCTGTCATCATTTACTCACCCTCATGTCAAACCCGTGACTTTCGTTCATCTTCAGAAAACAAATACAATATCGTAATGAAATCTGAGAGATTTCTATTCCTCCATTGACAGCTATGCAGCTACAACTTTGATGCTTCAAAAAGTTCATAAAGAGATCATATTAATTGAGCGAAGAGACGCGATCACTTTATATGATGAACAGATTGAATTTACAGAATGGCATGAGGGAGAAAGAATTTTCATTTTTGGGTGACCTGTCCCTTTAAGAATTAGTCTGACCAACTAGCAGTTAGTTAGGGGTAAACAGTCTTATGGTGTGTTCACACCGAACGCGAATTTAATTATTTGGGCGAGTAGATTACATACAAAGTCAATGCAAAGACGCGAATAGACGCATCATTCGCGCCGGGCGTTG